GATGGACAGGCAGGTACTGGCCAATCAACCAGACATCGTTGTAGTGGACAAGGACCAGAAGACAGCAGTGACGATAGATGTATCGGTGCCAAGTGACAGCAACATCAGGAAGGAGCATGAGAATCTGGAGAAGTACCAGGGCCTGAAGGAGGAACTAGAGAGGATGTGGAAAGTAAAGGCCAAAGTGGTCCCAGTAGGACCACTCGGGGCTGTGACTCCAAAGCTGGGAGAGTGGCTCCAACAGTTCCCAGGAACATCAGAGCTCTCTGTCCAGAAGAGTGCAGTGCTAGGAACAGCTGAGATACTACACAGAACACTCAAAGTCGCAGGCCTCTGGTAGAGGACCTGAGATTGAGGAAGACACGTATCACCTATAGAAGTGGGACAGGATCTTTTTTTCACACACACAGACACACACACACACACAGACACACACGCATACAAGTACTCCTTGGTTAATGACAGTAATTGGGACTGGAATTTCTATTGCTAAGTGATGCAGTTATAAAGTGGAACATTGCATGACTGCATCACTTAGTGATGGAAATCCTAGCATTCCCCATTGCCATTGTTAAGTGAGAATTGCAGGTTGTTAAGTGAATCCCAGGCAGCTTGCAAGCAGGCAGGAAGGTAAGGCATGGCACAAGTGTGGTGCAGCTGGGGGTGGCTGCTGCCAAGTGGAGGAGGCTGCAAGCGACTTACTGGAGTGCCTTGTGACCTTCCCTGCTGTCTTCCCCATTGACTTTGCTTGCGGGAACCTGGCAGGGAAGGTCACAAATGACGATCATGTGACCGCAGGACACTGCAACTGTCATAAGTGAAGCCAGTTGTCAAGTGCCTGAATCTCAATCACATGACCGCAGGGGTGCTGGGACGACGGCCAGAACTTTGAGGACCAATCATAAGTACCACTCATTCGGCACTGTTGTAACTTCAGTTGCTGAATGAGTAGTTGTTAAACAAGGACTACCTGGGTACGTATACACACACACACACACGAATATGTATTCTCTCTCTCTCACTGCAGACATACACACAAAGTTAAATTTCAATTTATACATGCAAAGTGAAAGCATCAAAACGCACATGCCTGTAAGACACAACAAAACAATTCTTTTTATTACTGTCAGAAAACGACAGACACGGGTTCGGTTGTCCAGTAGACAGAAGTTTT